GGCAGCTTTCCTCAGTGGTTTCATGCTTTCCTTCAATCGTGCCTCGACCGAGATCCCATATCCATCGAAACCGCTGAATTACGCATGCTCATGTCCGAGCATGCGTCCGATCCTGAAACGCCTTGTCACTTTTGTCAAAGCTTCCCACTGCAGCTGCTACAGCGAGCCAGGGATGTTCTACAACGCATAGTTGACGATGCCTCCGAGGTCAGTTTTCCTTTTCTTTGCATTCTAGAACGCGCTAATTTGTTCGCCACAGAGCGCTATACTCGACTGTCTATCTGCGTCTTTACCGTCTTCACCGAAGGTCTACGAGGTTGCTTCACGATACGGCGCGCCATTCGACCAGAGCGACAGCGACGTCGTCTTGCGTTCGTCTACAGGCGTCAATTTTTTCGCTCACAAGGTCATCCTCCGCATGGCGTCCCCTTTCTTTGAGACGATGTTGTCTCTTCCGCAGAGCGCCGCAGCTTCCTCTATAAATTCCGAGGATTTCGTGGACGGGCTTCCATGCATACGGATGTCAGAAGACACGCAGACACTGCACCGTCTCCTCACTTTCATCTACCCCGTCTCTTTATCCATGCCAAAAACTGTCAAGGAGTCTCTTTTGCTACTTTCCGCGTTCCAAAAGTATCAGCTTGATGACCGGATGGCCGTCCTTCGCCGGCTTCTTGCCTCAGAAAAATCATGCGTCATCGACAAATTCAACGCCGTTGAGGTGTTCGGTCTTGCGCACCAGCATCGTCTTGTAGAAGAGGCTTTACGTGCCGCGCGGGTGTCACTCAAAGTTCCTCTGACCTTCTCATCCCTAGATGACCTCGATGAGGACATGCCATCAGGCTCCGCACTCTACACCCTCTACCAGTACCGCCTCGATTGCAAGGATGTCGTGCTCTCTTACTTCTCGGAATTGTGTTATGCTTCTAATCGCGCCACTGCGACTCTTCTCGCTTGTATCGGGTGCACCCACTTCGAGTTTTGGGACACAAAGAAGATGGCGCCGGTGTGGTGGTGGCGTCACTTCGCGGAAAGTCACAAGTTATTGACGGAAATACCGCCTTCGGAGGCCTTGGATGCACGCACGATCATACGCGAGCGCTCCCTTGAGGAGCTATACCGCCAGCACGTGGAGAAGACTGCATGCGCCGCACTGAACGCTGCCTCGGATAATGTCGCGCGGATTAGCAGAGGTGTCGAGGCAAGCATAGAGGATATCTTGTCAAAGGTGTGCACAACAAGCTGGGTATTCTTCGTGGCAATCGCCTTCTTAATGATGCATTCTAGGTACCGCTGCCGACATGGTAGCTCAGGATGCGCGCAGGATAACTGAGACAGACAGGACGACGTGTTACCATAAGATACCCAAGGATGGTGTGTATACAAACTATTCGTCGCGCTCTCGGCTCGAGATCGGCTCAGATTAGATACCCTTGGTGGCGGCGACTCTTTGTAGCCGTAGTTGACAAAAGGAAAAGTAGAAGGGTGTATCATAGTTGTATCCATAACCTGCTCGAATCCACTTTGGTCTGACAACGGCACTCTAAACCCCTGGTCATTGGGTCGAGAAGTTGCGGAACCACCCGCATATAGTGCCCCATGCTCTTTGAACAGAAATTGAGCCGACCCGCTCGTACCGTTGATCGAGAGCACTAGGACGCGGGTCAAATGCGAGCAGTCGGGGACCAACCGTTCCCTTATGGTTATGAGGGCAAGGGCGCCGCCAGTTTTATGTGTACGTGACGTCATACAGCTTTCCAAAACGTACTGAGCAAAGGAGTGCCGCCATCTATCGAACACAGGCTATCCGGGGCTCCCACTGAGTGCAGTGCTTTCATGAGTGTGAAACTCCTACAGATTTCGACCGGGCAATACGAAGGGCCGTTACTTCCACACCCTATCCTCTTCGGGTTCCGCCGATTCAGTTGCGAGAAACCATGGTAGATGTATGCAGTCATCTTACAAGAGCAATGGTCACGATTACGGTCTTCAGGGTATTCGTTAGATCAATATATGTCTAGGACGGGTAGCGAGACAGAGGAATTGTGTACTTAGGAAATTCAAGCGGGTCCGATGGAAGATTTCTGGAGAGCCATAAAGATAATGTTGAATGTATGCGAGAAAAAGGAACAAGATCCACCGCATGAGTGTATTGAAATACCAGCTCGTGCGCACGGCTCATCGCCGTCTTGCAGATCGCAAATCATGGGAGAGGAGCCTGGCAAACATCAGCCCGATAATAAGCCATGAAATGGGAAAGATCACCTTCAATAACATGATCTCTAAGCCAACCGCAATATCATCGTAGACCTTTGATGTAGACCTGGATGCCCGTCTGCATCTCCACGAAGAGCGGGCATGCTCGCGATGCGCGCGGGTGAAGGAGTCCCTGCTAACGAGGTCGAAGTACGCGCAAGGCGCCAGCGGTGCACTGGATATGGCGACGATAGCTTTGGTGAAGTACATTATCCACCATTGTGGCGCCTTCACAGTCTCTCTACGGCGAGTCTGTGAGTCCCACTGCGACTCGCAATCGCATAGGAGCGACACAGTCAGCAGGGCGTTGTGGCACACATGGCGGAGGTATACGAGCGCTAGGTATCGGCATTGAATGTGGTATTGGTGCAGGTCAGCGAACACTGAGCCCGCCTGGATATCATCGTCGAGGAGATCGAGCGCGTCAAATGTTAGAGGGACGAGGAGAGTCTGATACACAGCCTTTCGATATCTGTCCTCTGAGCCCTCCATACCTTCACGGAATTGGCGCATGACGCTATACACAGCGATAGGACTTTCTCTGCCGATCGGGTCGAGGAGGTCGGAGTACACAGCCTTAAGTGCACCAGGGAGGCCATAAAGACGATTCCAGGAGGGCACGCTGAGGGATGCCCTGAGACTAATTTTCGAACTACCGCTGGGCGTTAATGAAAACTTGTGTTCGACTTGGAGCTTCTCGAGCGCGGAGTTAAGCACCGCAATATCTCTGATTGAGCGAGGTGCGTTAGCTTTCCACCGTTGAGGATGATACATGACGTTGAGAACCGAGTGGAGAGTCCGCGTGTCCTCCTGCATGCGAATGCACGGTCTGCCCTTATAGAAATCCGACGAATCATCCAGGTTCGCGGGAAGCTCTCCCTGAGGCAGTGACAGTACTTCAGAGAACAAGAGTGACGCGTGGCTCAAGACCTTCTTGTGGACAAAGAAACAGACTCCGGTGGAGGACTGAAGAACGAGGTCGCTAGTCGGTGTATCGTACGGTTCGCCAAATTCCGTCAGCCGTACGAGAGGATTAGTGTCGGGTGTGTCAAAATGGAGTTCTTCTTCGAGCTGCTCGGCAACGTCGTTTGCCACAGCTTGCAGGACAGACCGAACGCGCTCCAAGTCATCAGGAGGGAAGTCCCGGCAGAACGCGCAGTATTTTTCTGGCCCGCGGCGATAAGAGTGCTTGTTCATGAGCGCCAGAAGCTCTGACGTATCGAACTCGACTGGGTCCCGACGACGACAAGACTCAATGAAGCGATGGAACCACATCGGGAAGGGACCCTCGCAGTCATCGCATTGGAGTGCCGTGTGCACGGAGCGCTCTCTCCAGATGGACAAGAGCTCCTCGATGTTGGCATAGTCCGCGAGCCTCGAGCGCAGCTCGCGATAGTAGGCGGAGCGGTAGTTTCGTAGGGCCTTGAGGTCTGCGGCTGTTGCTCCCCGAAGCTGTTCTAAGCAGGACGCATCGATAGACATGGATAGGACCAGCGTGCTGCGCGCGGCCCTGCGTATCTGCGGGGTGAAGCCGTGATGCCTTGCGACGACATAGGCTCTGAATGCACGCGTGGGCTGTAGTGTGAGCTCAGCGTCGAACTTGTCGGCAAACATCTCCAATGCACGCTCCAGTTGATACAAGCGAGCCTTGTGCATGAGCTGTGCGATCTCCTCGAATGAGTGGGGGTCCGAGAGCGAGGCGACGGCGAGAGTGGGATCCACCGCGCAGAGGAGCTGACTGGTCGTAGAGACATCCTCGGGGAAACAGAGCACGGGGAAGCCGTCGACGGTGTTGACGTCCCACTTGACGCGGCTGCAGGAGCCAGGCCATGTGTGGGGCGTATCGCGTTCGGCAAGGATCTCCTTGAACAACGGAGACGCAGCGGAGAGGACCGCGCTATCCACGCGGAAGCTCTGTGGCTCGCAGAACGTGCCCAGCATGCGGTCGACTAGAGTCGAGGACGGGCGGAGGATGAAGTCGCCGGCGGCGGCGAAACGGGGATGGTAGGACATAGGTCACTGCACCGGCTTGGAGGAGGCCTTACGGTTGTGAGAGGATGTGCGAGGGGATACGAGCCAGCGTTATGAGTCCATGCGTGGTTTTTATGTCAAGGTCGACCGAGCCCTCGCACAACAACATCGTTCGAGGCACTGTAGACTAGGACCGTGCCTCCTCTTGTTTCGCTAGCGTGGCATTGGCCTGCGGGCCTTTGCACAGGGAGGAGGGCCGAGGATAACGATGCCACCCCGACGACGTTCCACCCAGTACAATAGCTTCGAAGGAGCATCCACGAGTAAGGTGGAAAGCCTACGCCTGTGCCGAGGGACTCCTCCAGCTCTACGCTCTGGCCTGTCATCTCTGTGTCCTGTGTGGCCATAGCAGTGCTCGTACGCGGGCACAGCCGATCTTGTGAGAACCGATCCATCTCTGCATCTGGGGGGCCACCTATATCCCTGCGCCCTCACCGAGGAAGGCAGCCCTGTACGTAGGAGTCGGAGAGCGCTGGTTCCGCGCGGCAGGGTGAAGATAACGGGAAAAGTCAAGCTACGCTGCCGCCCGCGCGGCGGCGCGGCGCTGAAGTTTACACGCCGCGGTTGGAGGTACGGCGTCGTACTCGTGCTCGCGCGCCCTGACTGCAGCCTCTCCTCATCTTTCGAAAGTCGACTGTCGACACGCGGTACGTCTCGGGGCAGATACCGTGGCTGAGGGTGTCTTCAAAAATCTCCAATCACATAGATCGATTAGGTAGTACCAGGGTTCGAACCTGGGTTTCGGGAATTCATATCAAAATCCCGAGTGATAACCACTACACTATACCACCCCTAGCTTCCTGCGCTCAAAAGTCTGTCGAGTATTGCCTCGAGCACTGTCGTCTGTAGGAGACAAGTGCTGAGGATCACCCTCTAACCTCACACTTTACATCCCACGAAAACTAGCAGCCAGAACGAGAGACTTCCATTCGCCGCGCCGCCACTGCGGCGGGGCAGGGTGGTATGTAGAGTACTGTATAACAACACAGGGATCGGAGACGGGGCGGGGCGTCTCGGGCTTCCGCTAGCTGGAGAGTGGACAGGCAGAGAGAGACAGAGAGAGAGAGCGCGGGCTAGATGGGGTAGTGTACCGGTTGGAGAGATACGAGAGGGAGGCCTGTGAGGGTGCGAAGGTCGGGAGTAGGGTAGATGGCGGTGGGTGAAGAAGGTACCCGGTAGAAGGGGAAGGCGTCGGGCCGGTGGGAAGGGTCGAACGGACAAACGGGTGTGTTAAGTATTTCAAAATCAAGCCGAACGGGAAAAAAAAGAACGGGGGAAAAAAGGAAAAGGGGGCATACGACGAGAAGAGAAGGGTAAGAGGAGGGGGAGGAGGGTGACGCCGGGCGGTGAACTATGAAACTAACCAAAGCCCCACCCACGGCCGTCCATCCCCACGTGCCCACGAACGAATTTTCGACATTAGACGAGAGCAGACGAGACTGTAGACGAGCGAGCGAGCGGGCGGACGGGAAACGAGCGGGCGGGGATCGAGACGAGCATTCGGGGGAGTCAGGCAGGCGAGTATCGAGAGCACGAGCGGGCAGAGCAGACGCGTCTGTGTGTGTTGGTTGGGGTATCATCTTGCGGCTCACGCGTCCGCCGCGCCCTGCGCGGGCTCCTCCAGCACGCCCTCCATACGCTCCTCCTCCACAATCGCCTGCGCATCAAACGGCGCCGGCTCAACGGGATGCGGATCGACGGGCGTCGGCGCCGCAGAGCCAGGCCCGCCGCGACGTCCGCCGGCGCTGCCGGCCTGCGGGCCTGAGCGCGGCGGGTTCGCGCAGCGGTCTTTGCCGTGCGCAATGCGGAGACTGGCGTAGTCCGGCTTGCTCTTGATGCCGTCGATCGCCTTGATCGCGTTCGAGATGTTCGTGAAGTTCACAAACGCGCAGTTCCTGTTGCGAAAGAGTTCACGTTCCCCATCCTATCCCGTCTGACGAAAGGAGGGTACGCACTTTTCCTTGAGGAAGTTGACGAGCTCGATATCGCCGTACTCGCCGAAATCGCGCCGGAGCTTCTCCTCTCCGAACGTCTCGAAATCCTCGACGTTCCCGATGTACACGTTGCGCGTCGCACCGGCGTGCACAGCGAGCGCGAGCGCGGGCGGCAGCGGACCTGCGTTCTTGCCCCAGCCGATCTTAAGCCGGCGATTGTTGAGCGTAAGCCCCTGATAGCTCGCGACCTGGAAAAACGTAAAGGCCGCGGCGGGATCGACGAACGTGACAAAGGCGATATGCTTGTCCTGCATGTACCGAATGCTCTGCAGCACGCCCCCGCGAATCGCATTGCACAGATCCTCCGCGCTCGTCTCGGGGTGGATGTTGCCTAGGTAGACCGTGCGGTTGAGGCCCTGCGCACCAAGCGCCATGCTTTCAGGCGTGAAGGGCGTGAAGGGGCTGAAGGGCGTCAGAGCGCCGCCCAGGCTCGTGTTGATCGGCGACAGACTCGCCGCGGCGGACTGCGCGACGAGCGACTGCGCGGCGGCGGCTTGAGCGGCCTGCGCGGCGGCCTGCTGAGACTTGGGGATGTAGGCGCATCGGTCCTTGCCGTAGTTAACGCGCTTGCCGGCCCAGTTGGGCTCTGTCGGGAGCGTGTTGACGACCTGGGGCAGCAGTCGGTCAGTCGGCAGGCCGGTAACTAAGTACGCGACGGATGGGTGGGCAGACGGACCTTGGTCGCGACGGAGATGCTGAGGAAGTGTACAAAGCCGATGTTCTTGTCGCGCACGATCTTGATCTGATCAATAGCGCCGAAGCGACTGAGGTCATCACGAAGCTGCTCCTCCGTCGTGCCCTCGTCAAGCCCACCAAGATAAACATTCCTGCTCGCGTTGCTCTGGCTGATCGCAAGCTGCACCTGACTCGGGACCGGGCTAGGCTTTCCCCACCCAATCTTGAGTTCCTGGCCTTGCAGCGCGAGCTTCTTGATCGTCGCGTCAGCATGGAAGGCTGCCGCGGTGCCCGCGTCGAGGAAGGAGAGGAAAACGCAGGACTTCTCTTGCAGGATGCGCACGGACTCGAGCGGCCCGAAATGCACGAGGTTCAAAAGCTCGTCGACGGTCGCTGTCGCGGGAAGGTTGCCGACGTAGACGGTCCGCCCAACGGGCGCGGAGGAGCTGGCGGCAAGCGCAGCGGTCAGGGCGGCGCCCGAGTAGCCAAACGAGGGCGAGAGGGGCGTGCCGAGGGCATTGAGGGACGAAATGCGGGCCTGGTTGAGGTTCTGGTGCGGGGAAGGTGGGATCAGCGCAATTCACGCCAAAGGGACGGCGAGGCAGATGCGAATGCGGCGATGGACAGGACGAAAACGCACCGTCTGGAGGGCAAGCTGGCCCGGGTAAGGGAAGCCGAGCATGCCAGGCATGCCCATACCGAGGAGATTATATCCGCCAAAGCCGTACCCATTCGCGGCGAGAGCCTGGCCGTTCTGCACGGCGGCAACCTGCTGCTGTTGCTGCGCCTGTGCCTGCTGCTGGGCAAAGGCGGTGGCAGTGTTGGGGCTCATCTGCGGGTTGATGGGTGTCGTCGGTGTCTGGAGCGCGGTCGAATAAAGAGGGCTGGCGGGCGGCGCAAAGGCAGCCTGGGGCGAGCTGCCGTTAAAAGTGGCAGCCTGTGCGGACAACGTAGCAGCGGCAGCAGCAGCAGCAGCAGCCTGTGGCCCGTAGCCATAGCTGGCGAAGACGTCCCTGGGGGAAGGCGCGGGGCCGGCGGAAGGCAGGGCGCCGTTGGCAGGGAAGGAGTTGGGTGACCAACGCGCTTTTTTTGAGCCCGGGCCGACGTCAGTGTCGATCGGTCGCTAGAGGAGATGAGAGCTGGAGGGAAAGAAGGAAGAATAGAAGGACATGCCTTCATCATGTCGAGATCGAAAGGGTAGGAGGAAGGGTACTGGGGCGCGAAGGTCTGTGCGTCGTCCATCATGGCGGGGAAGGGTATTCGAGGAAGCGGAGAAGGAAAGGGTCAGAAAAGGGAGGAAGGAGAATTGGGAGGAGGGCAGTCGGGGACGGGTAAGGAGCGTGAGGAACGGATGGCGGGGCTGGCTAGAAAAGGACACGCACAAAGAAAAGGGGAGGGGAGTGCAGTGAACTTATTATAGATAACCGAAGAAAACGACGGCGACCAACGAACGACAGAAAACGAACGCGCGAACGGTGGTCGAAGTCGAAGACAACACTCGGCCTCGAAGTCGGTCCTTGCCAGCGCTCGCACCGCCGCCCAATCACCCCGCGCCATCACCCGACCCGCCGTGCCCTCGGCTTATCACCTTTTCTTTTCCCGCTCCTCCTCCAGCACCGGAGCACTAGTCCTAATTCTCTCCCGACATGCCCACCACCACGTCCGCTTCCACGCCTCCACATCCTGTACCCTGGTTATAGCCGAGCGCCAAAACCCGCTGCGCCTTTCCCACGGCACCCGACGCCCACAATAGGGAGGTCCGCCAGGGTACGACTCACCCCTTCTTTTGTACTCTGCGTCCCTAAAAATCACCAGCACGGCGCTCGCTGTCATCGAGGTGGAGGACGCGCCGCACGCGCGCGAACAGATCCCTGTTTCCACGGGAGCTGGAGAGACCGCTCTGTCCAGCCGAGAGGCCGGGACAAGGCGGCATCAGCTTTCAGAAAGACGCGTACGGCGCTGGTGCAGCACGTGTCTGCACGGCATCACTCTGCCTGATGAGGCGCGGGAGCTGTAGGCGCATTTGCTTGCGTCAATGTGTGCGGAGTGTCTCGTATCGCTCGACGGCTACGTGCTTATGCTACGGCGAACGGAGTGGAAAAACACTGCGAAGCAGTTAGCGCACCAGGTCGGCGAACCGCGAAGGACCTGTGGCCTCAGACGTGATGGAGAGATGGAGTTGATACATGTACAGCGGAGCGGCGGTAAAGATCAATCTTATGGCGATGGCCACCGAAACTGTGTGCGGGGGCGAATGTTCTAGTGCTCGAGATTGTGGCGTTGCAACATCTAGTGGGACATGCGCAGATTTCTCAGACAGATGTAGGAGCCTTCAGCACCAGTAACTCGAGCAGCCTCGTAACATGACGCGATGATGGTTGATCCCCGGGCCGCAAGTAAAAATATGCCCCTAGAACTACTGCTGGAGGATCTCAGGCCTGCGATATCGAGGCGAGTAGCGCTCCGAACGCAACAGAGTGTAGACCGCGTCTCGGAGCTGTATCTCTGCGAGCGATAAGGTACTCGTCATGGACGCACGAACGACTAGGGTCGCACCGTCCGACGCTCCTCCAGCAACTATACGTTCCCACGGCTCCGAAACGTGGCCGACGCCTCGCGCTGCCTCGCTCGCTCTTGCATGCGCCCGCGCGGCCACCGTATCCCCCGCGACGATGAACTCGCTCTACACGCTCGGCGTCCGCCAGACGTCCTCAATCCAGGCCGACCTCGAGCGTCTGCGCTCAGGCGAGACGTCGGCCCCCCTACTCGGTTAGCCCACATCTGTACTCGTCGCACCGCACTCGGCTGACCGCACGCCAGGACAGATCACGGCGTCGCTCGCGGGCATGAGCCGCACGATAGAGGACTACGACTCGATGGCGCGCCGCGAGATGATCAAGGCGAAGCAGGAGAAGGCCGCGTCGTGCGTGCGTGCTTGCGCAAGGTGCGGAGGGACGCGCTGATACGCCGAGCAGGCGCGTGCAGAAGTTCAGGAACGATTATCAGGAGCTCAAGAGGGAATTTGAAAGGCTCAAGACGGAGGTGCGTGTGTGGGTGCTCGAAGGGAGCGGCGCGGCGAGCCCGCGCGCAAGCTCTGTCCGCTCCCGTCAGATCCTAGGACG